GCTCAATTTCTAGTTTTTGAAGGACTGACCATATCGTTTTTCAGAAAGGTTGGACTAGTGGGCATTCCCAACAACAATGAAAAAGTTTTTTCCCCACATCCATGCCAGCACTGGTTGCTTTTGTTCTTTTGAATGTGTGCCAGTCTCTGTGGTGTGAGATGATAATCTCATTATTATTTTGATTTGCATCTTCCTGATGGCTAGCGATGTGGAGCATTTTTCATGTTTCTTTGGCCATTTGTATTTCTTTTTTGAGGAAACTTCTGCTTTCATTTCTTCTTCCCATTTTTTGATGGGTTTGGAGGATTTCTCTTGTACAATTCTACTAGTGTATTGTATATCCTGGATATTAATCCCTTATCAGATGGGTATTGGGTAAATATTCTTTCCCATTCTGTGGGTTCTTTCTGTATTTTGGTCACTATTCCTTTTGAAGTGCAGAAGCTTCTTAGTTTGATGTAGTCCCATTTGTTTATGTTTGCTTCCACTTGCATGGTCAGTGCTGTTTCATCCTTAAGATGTTTTTAGCTTCAATGTCGTGTAGAGTTCTGCCTACATTTTCTTTTATGTACCTGATGGATTCATGTCTGATATTGAGGTCTTTCATCCACTTTGATCTTACTTTTGTGCCTGGAATTAGACAGAGGTCAGAGTTCATTTTTTTTGCAGGTAGCTATACAGTTTCCCCAGCACCACTTGTTGAAGAGGCTTTCCTTGTTCTACTTCACATTTCTTGCTCCTTTGTCAAAGATTAAGTAGTTATATATTTGGGGGTCTGAGACAGAATATTCAACTCTGTTCCATTGGTCTGCAAGTCTGTTTCTAGCCCTGTACCATGCTGTTTTAATTACTACTGCTTTGTAGTACAGTTTAAAGTTGGGGAACGTGATGCCACCCATCTTCTTTTTCCCAAGGATTGTTTTAGCTATTCGTGGGGGTTTATTGTTCCATATGAATTTCAGGAGTGTTTTGTCTATTTCTTTGAAAAATTTCATAGGTATCCTGATAGGGACTGCATTGGATTTGTATAGTGCTTTGTTCAGTATTGCCATTTTGATAATGTTAATCCTACCTATTCATGAGCAGGGGGTGTGTCTCCATTTAGTAGTGCCCTCTTTTATTTCTGGAAGTAGTGTTTTCTAATTTTCCTTGTATAGGTCCATAACCTCTTTGGTTAAAGTGATTCTAAGGTACTTGATTTTCTGAGGTACTATTGTGAATGGGTTTTTTTTTATATATATCTCTTTAAGAAGATATTTTCTTACCTTGTCTAATATCTCAGATCAGATGTCAATGGCTAGAAGGTCCTAAGAACACTATGACTATTCCTTAAATCACACTCAGATGAAAACATCATTGCATAAAAATAACATTACAGTTTCTGTCCACCTGTCCATCATCCCAAAATGCCAAAAAGAAATGACTTCAGATAATGAGGTAATGGGTGCTTGCTTCCATCTGTCTACTTTTCTCTATTTTCTGCATTGCCTATAATGAAGAGTGCTAGTTTTATGTCAGAGAAATTCCCAGATAAGCTCTATTAAATAGATCAGTCATAAATTCTTGCTTTCATGGTTGCAGGCTTCAAGAGCTTACCTGCTTTGAAGCATGGCACTTGCTTCCCAGAAGAGTTGGTGGGAGGCTGTGAGAAGCTACATATATTACTTATAGTGTAAAATAAATTACTCTGGCAAAAATAGTTCAGCTAAGTGAGAGTAGAGGCATCTTCAATTTCATTTGCACAGCAGGTCAGTCTTTCTCCCTTGGGGTTATCTGTAGGAGCAGCCAGCAACAAGATTATTTCTTCTCTCCAACCCCCATCAGAAAAATAGTATTCTATCCTGCTCTGACTGCAACAGGAGTGAATCATAAATTCCTCTGTAGCCTTTTGCAATTAAGTTTTATTCTGATTCAAAGTAGTTGGTTGAAGCTAGGGAGTCTCAACTCTGAAATGGTGATCAAATGTTTACGCACTAACTCTTAATAATGCTATTAATTGTGCAAAACATATAGCCAGCAGGCTAAACAATGATAACCAAGAAACAAAAGGGTGCTATTACTCAGTTATCTGAGATCTCAATTATAGATAATGTTGAAGTCAGCACTCAACTGATAGACCATGTATAAATACAGATTTTTAAAAACTGTACTTTTAAAAGACAACAGAATTTCATAGAAATATATTTTCTTTAGGAATCTTTTATAAGTGGTGCTTGGATGACAAAATTGATCTAGTTATATAAAATTAATCTAGTAAATATTAAATTTTAGGTAAAATTATTTTCACTAAAAATAAAGAAAATGTTATTATGAAGTAAAACATGTTATAGAGAAGTAATTTTAAGTAAAGAAAGAAATCTTAGGTGTCTCTTTTTCAGGTTAGAGGTAGTTAAATGGACTCTAAGCACTCAATATATGAATTTCTAGGAGAGCTTTTCTTTTCTTTTTTTTTCTTTTTAATTTTTATTAGTGAGACACCATGAGATACAGTTGTAGACTTACAAATTTTTGTGCTTGAGTTTCAATTTTGCAATGATCAAATACCCATCCCTCCACCAGTGCCCATTTCCCACCACCACGGATCCCAGTACCCCTCTCACTCTCCATCCCCCCCTCAGTCTCCCCATGTCTCTTTGGCAGTACCCCTCTCACTCTCCATCCCCCCCTCAGTCTCCCCATGTTCTCTCTCTCTCTCCTTTTGTGTGTTGTGGTTTGCAAAAGAGGCATTGAGTGGCAATCATGTTTGGTCTATAGTCTACTTTCAGCATGATTCTCCCATCTTGGGAGGATCCTCCCAACACTCTTTATTTGGTGCTCCCTTCTCTATCTGAGCTCCCTTTTCCCCTAGCATGTGTAGCTGGCCTAGGAGAGCTTTTCTTAAATAATGCTTCTCGGGAGTCTGTGAGTTGTTATTGTTAAAGTTTGCAGGACACAATTATAATGGGAACATGGGGAGATTATCCCAAGATGATTAAAGAAGGGCTTGAGAAGAGAAAGAAACAAGTGATTAAGAGCATTAATTTAAACATACAAGAAAATTATGACTAGACGGAAGTCTGGATGACATTCAATATGTCAGGTGACTCAGGAAAACAAAAAAAATGCAAAATTGAGTGCTGAAGAGTCCAGGTTGTAACTAATACTCCATCTATATCACCTCTCATTTAGATTTAGACTTCTCCCTCTCCCATAGAGCAACAAACTGTATATCCCAGTTGACCTTCAGGAGATCAGAAACTTCCATGGGAACAATACGTACATTGTAAACAATGTTTTCACGCACCAGAAACAAAATAGTATCAAGTGAATATGGAAAATGAAAATGGAGGTTTGAATATTGCTAAAACGGGCAAATCACAAATTACAAACCCCCATTTTCATCAGAAATTAAGTGAACACAGAGACACACATGCGTGCATACATGCACATACATCCTCACTCTAATTCATGATTTGAACTAGTTCCTTATGAGCCTAAGATCTGGGAAGAAATGAGGCATGGTCGGTGGGATATTGTTAAAATTCATCTCAGAAAGGCAAAATTTAGTCTGCAGAATGGCATTCAAAGGTCTGCATGACTTTGCCACAAGGAGCTTTTATCTTATCATCTTTTATTCCCTTTCCCGGACTGGAGCGATAGCACAGTGGGTAGGGCATTTGCCTTGCATGCAGCCAACATGGCCGACCTGAGTTTGATTCCTCTGCCCCTCTCGGAGAGCTCAGCAAGCTACCGAGAGTATCTCGCCCGTATGACAAAGTCTGTCAAGCTCCCCGTGACGTATTCAATATGCCAAAAAACAGTAACAAGTCTCACAATTTGTTGTGAGATGTTACTGGTGCCTGCTCGAGAAATCGATATGCCAATATCTTGTGACTTGATTATACCTGTTGGTTTTCTTAAACACTTCTCCCCTTATGACATTCCTCAAGGGCTTTAATACTGTGTCACTTTTCCACCCAGGATTCCTACTAACTTCAACATCACACCTGAATTCTAGCTCTATATTTGAAAATGCAGTCTGGATTTTAGCTGGATGTCCAAAAATAGCACTTTTTATTTATTTAATTAATTAATTAATTTAAATTTTATTGAATCACCATGAGATAGTTACGGCGTGTGTGGGTTACAATCACACAATGATCAAAATCTCATGCCTCCACCAGTGCACATTCCCCACCACCAATATCCCCGGTATAACCCCCCTTTCCCACCTTCCCCCTTCCTCCATGGCAGACAATATTCCCCATACTCTCTCTCTACTCTTGGGCATTATGGTTTGCAATATAGGCACTGAGAGGTTACGATGTTTGGTCCTTTATCTACTTTCAGCACACATGTCCCATCCTGACTAGTTCCTCAAGCCATCATTTCCTTAGTGATCCCTACTCTATTCCAGCTGCCTTCTTCCCTTTGCTCATGAGGCAGCCTTCCAGCTTGGAGCAATCTTTCTGTCCTGTGTATCTACTATCCTTAGGGGTCAGCCTCATGTTATGTTGTTTTATACTCCACAAATGAGTGCAGTCCTTCTATGTCTGTCCCTTTCTTTCTGACTCATTTCACTTAGCATGATACTCTCCATGTCTATCCATTTATAAGCAAATTTCATGACTTCATCTCTCCTAACAGCTGCATAGTATTCCACTGTGTAGATGAACTGAAGTTTCTTTAACCAGTCATCTGTTCCAGGACACTTGGGTTGCTTCTAGATTTTGGCAATTATGAACAGCAAAATAGCATTTTTTAAATGTCATGTATAAAATTGTTTCATCATCATATATTCTAGTCCATCAATTGCTCTTACTCTTTGAATTGTACTTTCTTCTCAGACACCTGAGATGTTAAAGATCCTATTATAGTAAAGTGTACTTATTTTAAATATCATAGAGCATATTGTTCTGTTAGATGCAAGAATAAAGACATACTACAACTACAACATAAGATACGACATACTGAGTTAGAACAGACAATCAAAATACTTGCTAGAATAAAAAAAGAATTACCTTAGGGTCATGTATTCCAGAAAGCTCTTCATAGATCTTCTCACCTACCATGACAGCAGCCAAGTTAGCCGTGTATGTGGAAAGGCAAAACATACAGAAAATGGCCCAAAGGTTCATTAGAAACCTTCCAGTCCAGCACTTTGGGGGTTTAATGGCTGCTGTTCTACCAAACAGGAGAGCATAACAGACATTCAAGGCTGATGAGAAGGAGAAGACTTTACTTCTATTCCGGCCCTTGGGAGTCATACCAAAGGGGCTCTTCCATTCATAGAGAGTGAGGAAGATGGCAGTGATATGCAGAGCCACAAAAATCCCCAGCCACATTGTCCAGTGGAGTGGCCACATGAAGGCTCCAATGGGAGCTGCTGTGTCTCGGGTCCTCACTAAAATACCCAAGCTTGTGGAGAAGAAAGGACTGGTGAAATCTATCACCTGGCTTCGTGCAGTATTGATGCTGAAGGAAGTGACTGCCATGTGAGCAGATCCACTCAGGAGATCACCGACCAGACCAGTCCAATGACCGTTTTTCCAAGCGCCATACTTTCCATCTCCAACAATATAGAGGTCAAAGTCAAAGTCCATATCTTCGGCCAACTTTTCCAGCAGATCAATGCAATATCCATAGCAACACTTCTTGAACTGGATGGGCACAGTGTCATTACTGCTATGGAGGCTGCTAAAAAGGCTGTCCAATATTGAAGAGTCATTAGTCATGGGATCTAGACAGAGTTGGCCAGCAGGGCACAAGCCTTCATCGTCAACCTCCCGTGTGAAGACAAATGGATGTTCTATCAATGTAACCACTCTCAAGTGCAGCTTACTTGGGTGCTGGAAGTGGGTTTTGTGCCTCTGGGCTTGCTCTGGCCATATTCCATAGTTCATGACAATCTTCCCTCTTTCCCAGCTGCCCAAGCGGGTCCACATAGGCTGTCCCATCGGATCATGTTGTAGATTCCAGATGAAAAAATTATTTTCTGAGCTGATGATAGTGGAGCCTTTTACTCTGATGGAACCGCTGAGGCCTCTGAAAGTGGTGTTAGCTAAAAACCTGACAAAGAAGAGAAAACGCACAAAGTAAGGAAGAAAGGTGATTGCTCATCTTTATTTCTGTCTTAATAAAAAGAACGCTTTTTTAAAAGAAAAAATCACTTATTTTTTCCGTAGGAACTAATATGCTGGGAACTTCCAAGAGTTTTATTTCCTTGAGCACATTTAGGTTCTAAAGTCCAAGCTGGGTGTTTGACTCTTGGTCTTATTTCAGATTTCTTTATTCTTAGTGAAAGGACATGTTGTTTCCTGTTTTCAAGTTCTTCATTACATATTTTAAAGATTTCTAAGCAATGGAATTTCTTAGCATCTTTAGCATGTGTTATTTCTACTATTTTCTACATTCAATTTTAACTACATTTTAACAAATCTTTTTTTTCTTGGTGCAAGAAAAAAAGTTTTAATAAATATGCATATACTTTTAGAATTGTTTAGCATGCATTAATAATTTTAGAGAAGAGTCAAATCTTGTTAACAGCATTTCTCTTTATAGACTGAAAACAATCAACATTTCTGTCCCCATGAGGCCAGTCAAAGCTGCATGTTGGATATCATCCATGGAACAAAGGAAAGGATGATAAATAGAATTGCAACTCTCAGGATAGCCTCAGGCTACCTTCCTTCTAAGTCATTAGAGAAAAACATTGGCTCTTGCTCTAGAGAGCACTTCTGCCAGAAGTCAAAGCAAGGAAAATTACCAGTGGAATAATATACTGATCTGTAACCCTGTGAACCAGAGAAATGTCCCTGTATCTGCCAATGTGGATGAGACTGGAAAAGATTTGGTGAAGAGTTTCTTTCTTCAGTCTGGGAAGATAAAATAACACAAGGTAACGTATAAGCCTATGGCACATACTCTCAATTAAGTTCTTGTGTCAGGTAAAAGTCCAGAATTTGAAATCAGACACATTTATGTCTAAATATTGATCCAGCACCTCCGGCATTGTTCTTGGTCAATTTACTAAGCTCTAAAGCTTCAGTTTTGTCTTTAGTAATTTGGGCTGCATAATATCTCTTGCATTATAATAATTGGGAATAATGCACACCAAGCAAACTACCACATAATCTGCAGAGCAAACGGTCCAGATATGTAACATTGTCCTCCTGTTGTTCATTGATTTGCTCGAGTCAGCATCAGTAACGTCTCACAACAAACTGTGAGACTTGTTACTGGTTTTTTTTTTTTTTTTGGCATATCAAATACGTCATGGGTAGCTTGCCAGGCTTTGCTGTGAGGGCGAGATAATCTCGGTAGCTTGCCGGGCTCCCTGAGAGGGGTGAAGGAATCAAAACCGGGTTGGCTGCATACAAGGCAAATGCCCTACATGCTGTGTTATTGTTCCAGCCCTTCAGACATGTAGCTATTATTTATTGTCTATGAATTTTCTTTTAAATAAAGGATATCCTAGGTCATCGAGTATTAATAGAACTTTTCTGGTTGGAGACACAAAGTGTCTCAGAGTGTACTCTGAACTCACGTTAAATGAAAAGAATTAAATTAGAATAAAGAATGAAACAGTTTTTTAAGGAATCAGAAGCTTAGGCTCTGAGCAAAATATGTTCATCTATTGCCTGGTGCAAACATTAGTCTATAATTAACAAAGGCAAATTTAAGTAGTAAGAAGTGATGCTGCCACAAAAGAGACATAGAAAAATCAAAAAGCATGAAGAATGTACTAATTTTCATTAGCACTACATATGCAAGTCACCTTGGTAAATGTTACTAGCACTAAATGCAATGAAATTTCATTTTGGTAGACTCTTTGTACTGGTAATCATTTGTTACCTTTTCTTCCAGTGGGACTTTCTACTTAAAATTAATTCCATTTTGTTATAAGTAATGGGACTTTAATTATCTTATACTAAAAATACTTTTTTTTGCTTCTTTAAATATGTAGGGAGCTAAATCATTGAATATATAGATTAGTCAATAGTTACTTAGAAACTATAAGGGAAGGATGACAATAATTGTGTTTCTGAGTAGCAAACAACTTCTGTGTATGTTTATCTTGATTTGTTAACACACACACACACACAAACATGCTCACGCGCACACACACACACACACACTTGTTGAAATAGCCTAGGGAATAAAATCATTAATAGTAAATAGGTTAAGGTCTCTTGTTCACTTTATAAATCAGCAAAGCAAGGCTATAGAAAGAGCAGCCCTTCATTGTTTTAGGAATATCTGTGGAATAATGATTATAATTTTTATCAGGATACACCCTGGAAAGATGACCCCTGAGTAAACACTCAACATACTTATAAGATGACGAAAAGCAAGTAGCCAGGAATTTTTAGAAATCTTTCAGAGACTAGATGACTCATTTGAGGAAAACTCATTTTTCATTATCAATATTAAGTAATAACCATGGTAGTGATGACTGATGACTAATGATCAGCTATCCTTGAGACATTCATTTGTCACAGAAAGACAAATCATCTAGTAGTGAAATATCCTCAACTTTTCCAGATCAAATATTCTATGCAGTAAATACCAGGAGATTAGGTCTCAGAGAATTTGCATCATTAATAAATTATTTCAATTTTATTTTTTGAGTGTAGGTAAATTATTATATTTATAGGATATTGATAGTTTTTAATGACAGTTGCCTTTGCTATGTGTTCTTTGTGCTGTAGCAACAATGACAACGCAATTTATTTATTCATTTTTATAAAATTAAATCACCATGAGATAAACAGTTACAAAGTTATTTAATTACAATGCAATTTAAATGCTCACTATATAAGTAAACTAAAAGATGAAAAGTTGACATCTCATTTTGGCTGAAATATAATTCTTGTCATGAACTCTTTCTGATGAAAAAGAAAAAGAACTACAAGGAATACTTTTATTGCAAGATAGACTGATACAAACAAGAGGCACAGTTCTTAACAATAGAGTTCCAGAGGTGAAAGACACAAGGAACTTAAAGTCTACTAGAGGGAAGAAAGTAAAGTGAGTAAGAAAGTCTAAACTGCTGTAATAAATAAACTCGAGTATCACTGGAACAGAGAGAAAAAATCCCTGCACACTCTAGGATTTAAAAAGAAGGCTTGTTAGGTGAGGATGCATTTGAACTGAATTCTAAAGGAATTGCAATTAGGTAGGAAATGCTGGAAACCCATGATGTCAGCCCAGGGAGATGCATGTGCAAAAGACAGAGCACAGTGTACAAGCTGCAGGGAGATAAGCAGTGAAAAACAAAGCATCTTATTTCTATCAAAAAATATTTCACTGGTAATATAGAAAATGGTTTGCGAGGAAGAAGGGCTGAGCAATTTCACAAGTGAGGAATAATGTTCCTTCCCTTCTTCCCTTGTTTCCTTTCTCTCCACTTGTTTCATAAGAGGATTAACCAGGTAGAGGTGAAGTAAAAGCTCTAAAAGTGGAAAGAGTGGCATAATCAAGAGGTATATAGTCTTCAAAAAAGAAAAGAAGTGTTTTATAGAGGACCAGTGTATAGAGTTTCTTTCAGTTTCTTTTAGTTCATACACTGTACAAAGTGCGTACGAAACTCAGCTTGATAGAAGGTCAAATAAATAAGACTTAGAGTCATTAAGTTGAATATCAGCTCAATGTACATCAATTATTGAACAATTAGTGAATATATAAGGTTATAAAAGTAATATTAATTTAAAAAAATAATTACACATTTAGGCCTAGATCACCAGGACCAAAACTATCACTATACTCTGAGCTGATCATGTGACTACTCCAGGCTAGACAGGAACTTAAAGAAATTTTCCAGATTCAGAAATGCCAAGAGGAAAGGCAAAGAGGTGGAAAGTATCATAGAAGGCAGAAAGTTAGTAAGCACAATAATCTTATTGGCGAGCAAGGTAGAAAAATGTGAGAAAAATATAGGAAAAGCAAATGGTTACTAGATTATAAAAGACTAGCATATTCACTTTATGAAATGGGGTTTAATTTAAAAGAAAAAGCTATGAGGATTTTTGAGTAATGATAGAACCAGAAGACTGTAGTAGTAATACTGATCTGGAAATAGGCAAAATATTTATGTAGGTGAAGAAAGAGATGGTAACCAGAAGACCACTTAGAAGAATAATATATATGTGTCATGATACGAATCTCTGTATGAGAGCCTAGTTTAGCACTGTCTTGCAAAGTGTTTGACAAAACATTCAAATATACACTTTTTTTTATTTGGTAAGCAAACCTCCCAAGGTACATTCTTCTTGAAAGAATGAAACTCATTAGTTAATTTGCATTGAGGTAACTTATTACTTTAGTAAAAGCTTCCAATTAAGTCACTAATTAAGAATGTGTTGATTTGCCTGGGAGCTGAGATAAAATGTGCACTTTGCAAACTATGTAAAAAATGTTCCTGAAATGGTTCACAGTATAAGGAAGATCAGTGCTTAATATATTTAAGATATATTTTAGAAAGTACATTTGCACACAAAATTTGGCATACTAATCAAATGATTTTCTTACTCATTTAAACAAATGAATGAGATATAAAACAACACATCATCCATTCAACCCCATATTCCATTCACAATACTTACTATGTACCAAGTATGAGGCATTGCCTGTAGGAGCTTGGAGATATGACAGTGTGGAAAAAAAGGAGAAATATCTACGGAACTGGAGAGTTAATGCCGCAAGTAGGGCACTTTCCTTGTATGCAGCTGACCAGGGTTCAATTCCTGGCATCTTATATTCTTATGCATTTTAAGACTTGTTAAAGGTCATGTCTTTAAATCTACTTTGATTTCCCCCCAACACACACTAATCACCTTTTCTGTATCTACTTCTTTTGCTTTATATTTCTTTTTAAATTGCCCTCTTATCTTTGCCTTTCCCCCAACTGTTATCTTCCATTAATCATATCTGTACATGGGAATATCTATTTTGCTCTGTAAAGTTCCCTTTGGGAACTTCATTGTATCATTAAAACAATCTGTATCCTCATTCTCCTCTATCTTGAAAAATGACCTGAATTTCTTTGCCACAATCATCTCATCATTTTT